TTTTTTTTTTTTTTTTTTTTTTTGATTTTTGTAGAAAATAGTGATTTGTTTTTTGTTGCTATTGTTGTTGCTGTTGTTGAAACGGTTCCTTAATTGAAGGGAAAAAAATCTATTTATTTAATTTCTTTTTTCCTTTTTCAGCAACGTACAATCGCTAACGAAACTTGGTTTACAAAAAGAAAAAAAAAACGAAAAAAAATTTGACTTTAACCTGGAACGTATTCATACTGAGAAGCCCACGCTATTTTGGCATTTGGAATTCAAGTTTCACTGACAGTTTATTATTCCCCTTCGATATACCTCATTATCAACAACAGCAAAACTTTATTGACATTGGAATTCTCTCCAGTTTACCATTGAAGGAATCAAACTACACTGCATTGGAAGCTCGAAAAGCGTTCAACGCTTTGATAAAATACGGGTTTATTTGTAATCAAAAACGTTTCAAGTCCGAGAAACGAAGCATTAAGGAAGGCAGAAGTTGTATTGTGAGGAAGAAAAAGAAAAAAAAGTAATGCTTGGCCGATTGGTGAACAAATTTCAACAACATTCTTTAAGCGACGAGCAAAGTCCAAGTGATAATCTTGATTCAATGAATGCTTTAAGTGAGTCTAGAAGAAATATGATCCCAAGTATGCTTTATCCGGTAAGTTTTATTTTCGCTTGATTACTTATACTTTTTATGTGTTTTTCTGGTCATTTTTATAATATGCTTTCCACTGCGTCTAGCGGTATTCGTATTTTTGAAAAAAAAAAAAAAAAAAAAAAAACAAGAGTTTATTTTACTGCAGTAATATTCAAGAAGATTGTTCTTCCACTTTGCATGGTTAGACTTGAGTAATATTTATTTATATGATAGACCATTTTTGATTTTTAGAATAATTTTGATGATTCGGGGACGGAGTCGGAGAATGAAGAGGAGCTTGAACAGCTTGAAACGAGTAAGACTACTGAAATGATTTTTGCTTATTCATTTGCCTGAACTGATTTAGTACCACTGTAAGAGAAATAAACTGCTAACAGTTATTTTCTTCTAAGATTTATTTCATTAAAGATTTAAATTTAGAAGTTTTCCAAGTGCGGAAAGTGTTCTCTTAAACCTTTGATTCAATTTTATAGAAACCGTAAGTCAGCAGTGCCCTATTTGCTTCATTGCTCACTATCTAAAGTTTGTTTTAAAGGTTATTTGATGTCTATAGCTACTGATGAAATGCAGTTAGGGCCGAGTCCACCTGTCCTTACAAGCTCACCTCCGCTGATTAGTGATTTTGATACTAACAGGTAGCCTCAGTCGTTTTTTTTTCTGTCTTTTTTTTTGTTTACTTTGAATCTTCAGCTGCAAATTTCTTAGAACAAAAAAGTGCTTGTTTCTTCTGCTTTACACAGTTATATTTCCTTTTATAGTTTCGGGATATTTAAGTAGGAATCTGCTATTCTATTCCATGGTGGACTGTTACTTAATAAAATTACAACTTCGCTATTTCTGAAATAATAGTCAGTTAATTCGAAACCTAGCAGGACTGAGTATCAAAGGAAGCCGAAAAGTTTAGCACTATCATTTTGATATTGACAGTCTGTAGATATGTCGTGAATGAATGGTTTTTAAGTTTTTTCGCTAGCGTTATCATTAAGTGATTGTAGCAGTCACGTGTCAGTGGTGAGTGTTAACTGGCGTCATCAAGTCTGCTTGATTCACTGCAGCACGTAATCTCTCAGGAACTGTTTGTTAGGTTATTGCTGCTATTAGTTTTTTTCAATGGTACTTCTGTTCTGTTCAAAGTATGCATATTTTATGGCATTACAATTCACTTTCTTTCCAAAGAAGTCTTTCTGGAGTTTGATAAATGTTATTGAAGCGTAGCAGACCCGCTTATAGTAAAAAAAAGTTTACATTTCTTCATTACCGATTTCACATTGTTCATAAACAAAGGAAAGTAGCATGTCATTTCAATTCTGGCTGCACTGGTATTAATGTTGTTTAAAAACTTCAGAATTGGCGCTCTCTGTTAAAGCCGAAGAAGTTGATTTTTTATTATTTCAAATATTGATGTTTGATTGTAAGTTTGTTCAGAGAAGTAAAGATAAGCGAGATAGATATGGTTCAGGTCGGACAAAATAAATTGCTCGCAGTAGTAGTTGCACCTTTAATATTTGTAAGGTACGTCAGTGGATTTCAGTGAGAACGAAGAAGTAGTGAATGAATTTTGCTTGGCATTATCATTGTTATTATTATTGGTGTTGTTTTAGAATTTTTCTGGCTTTATTGCTGGTTTTGGTTTTTCTTTGCTTATTCTTAAGAAACCGGCTTGTTTTGGACAATGAAATGCCATGTTGATTACCATTTTGCCGACTTTTCAGTTGGGACAGTACGGGTTGTGAATCTGGTATTGTTGTGCGAGAACAAAGTGAGGAACCAAGTGATTTGGCGAATGATCTTGGAACTCAAAAATTGTTATCCGTTCCTCTGGACAAGTACCCTTTTTTTCTTTCTGTGGCTCTCAGTTATAGTTAGAAAACAGTGATTACTTTATTTTTTGGGCGCTGAACTTACGTATAAGATTTGTTACGTGTAGGCTTGTGAGGCCATTAACATCTAGGTGTATATTTTATTTTATGAAAAAGGAAGAAAGAATAAGGACTTTTTTCTGCTCTTTTCAGCCGAAAAAGCAATTTTTCGGTGTTTTTAGGTTTAATGTCGTTTATGAATTTTTGTGTGTTCTCTTAAATTTTCTAAAGGAAGTTGAAAAGTATGGTTGTATTGAAAGAAGTTATTTTTGATAGGACCTCATTTTTTATATTAGCTGACTCATCAGTTTTTTATTTGGAGAATTTAATTCATCATTATTCATTTTTGCTTCAAATAATTGAGAGCGTTAAGAAGATAAACCCTGTCAAATATTAGGGCTTATTATTTTAAATAGTATAATGGTTATGTATCGTATTAGCATAAATTTTATGAATGGACTGATTGATTATTTCAGAAATAACAGTATTTGGAAAAATCACTTAGCTTTAAAGTTACCGTGAATTTGTTCTTTTCTAGTTTGACATGAAATATGATAGAAATAATTTGTTTTTATAGCTTGCCGACGTACGCAATAGATACGGGTAGCAAAGAAGACACTGTAGCCGCAGGCGGCAGTACAGCGGTTAACTCAGGAACTTTGATGGTCGGCTCATTTTCAGTTAAATATGGAGCGTTCCGCCCTTTTAGACGACGGGTCAAAGATCAGGTAGAGTAGAATATTTTATTGCTCGCATCTTTTCCAGTGTACTTTCTTTTCCATCAACGGGGCGTTTCTGTATCTTTAAATTTTCTTATAGACAGATGTCTAATAGTAGTATTAATTCTAAGTTGCGTCGAAATAAGGCGCAAGTTATGGCAGTTTTCCCATTTCAAGTGAATGCTTTTTTGACAAAGAAATTATAGAAGTTGATTAATTTTTTTTTGATTTTATTTTCACTGTTTACTGCTGGACAAATGTACAGAAACACTTCATTACAGCACTTAAAGTTACCATCTTTTTGACGGTCTCTTGTGGAATATGCTCAAGTTTTATATCTTGAGTAAACCTTAGTTCTTTTTGAAAAAATATCACATTTCGTACTGGGGTACTTTGGTTTTTGCTTTCTTCCAGATTTATTGACCACCGTTACCTCAACATTTTTTATAACTGATAGGCTGTTTTCTCAGTTTCGCAGGCTTATGTGATAGTAATTCAGAAAGGGTTGGTAAATAACTAGAATACTGTTGGTTAAGAGGCACTTTCAGAAAACTAACGGTTATTCTCTTTTTTGAAATCTTAAAAGGAAGCAGTTGGCCTTGTACACTTTTAGGTTTGTCAGAAAGTTTTGGTTTTGCCTTTGCTTTCCATTAAAATATCTAGAAGTTGCGGTCAAGTTTGCTGGAAGGGCATTTTTTTTTCACATTTTGTGATATATGATGTAAAATTCGATTGATTTTTCAGTTCTTAGTTCAAAACCTGATCTTTAGGAAAACGGAAGTGCGTCAAATGATTTGGTTCCTTCATTAGCTTTACAAGGCCTTATTGGAGAGAAACGACGCTACGATAACATAATCCCTAAATCAGAAGATGACGTAGAAAACCAGGATTATGGAGCGTTCCCACGAGGTAGTCTTTTACTTTGCTTACTACAACCATTACCTTGCAGTGATTTAATGTCACAGAGGAAATTTTTAGTTTGGTTATATTTGCTGAAGAAATTTTCAGCGTGATCTTTGTTTCTGCTGTTCATTTTTGGTTGTAGACCTTCATTAATAGCAAATTATCAAAGGCTAGATACGTGTGGTGTGTGGTGGGAAAGTCGACTTGTTTTATTTTGAAAACTGAGTCTTTCTTTCTTATCTCTACTTCAACTTTTAGGTGCTTCTGTTGGTTCTGGTATTCCTCGTGAAACTCTGGTTGCTTGTCGTCGTACACCTGTGAAGTTAATTATTTATAATCCAGATGGTGTTCGGAAAAATACCAAGCAAATTAACATTTCTTCAAAAACCGGGACTAACACTCAGAGTGAATCTCCACCGTTTCGTCCTGTAAAACGCGGTCGACTGAACACATGCGAAAGACCATCATTAGATTTTGAGAAAATGCGAGAGGTAAGTGTTATTACAGTTGTAGTTTTCTTCAATCTTTCTCACGGTTGAGGGAGTGTCACTGATACTGTAAAAGCAGCTTTATTTCATCACGTCTCCTCAGCATTATCTTTCTTATTTTTTTCTCGTAATGTGTGGAAAAGATTATCATTCTTTAGCGAATGATGACTGACTGGAGCAGCTGTCATGATGATGATACTGTGGAAGCGGAGAACAGAGTTTGTTCTACCAATTATTCTTAATTTTGTTCTTTCGTTTGTTATTCTGAAAGTCATGTTTTGACGCTTCAAATTATTTTTCCTTATATCAGTCGCAATTCTAGATACGGGTGGTTAACGGAGCTAACTTTTTTGATGAAACAATTAGTTCTCGACATCAAGCATCTGATAACCGAGGTGACGGCCGCGGTTTTTGTCCTCATAATTCAAATAACCAATTCGGGTCCAACTTTCTCCCGGAAAAATAACCAAATGCTTCGTTTTTTGATGTTGCAAATGTATCTTTTATTTGTTTTCTCAGCTTTGTCTTGTTTGTATTTGTGATTTTGTAGTGAGTGGTCTGAAGCAGGATACTGTATTTCTCAATCACAATGTTTTTGGTAATCGTGAAAGCTTGAATTGCTCAATCTGCTGTTTCGTGTCTGTAAGTGGGCTGCTTTTATCTTCTACTTTTGTGGTCCTAAGTTTTCAACTAACCTTTCTTCCGCAGGGTGTAACTGATGTGAAGTTTCTGAGCACTGCGTTTTTCTTTACTCTCTCTTTTGTAGTGCACGCAGACATGAAATTTTATTGAAATAATTTTTATTTTTATCACACAGTTTTCAAGAGTGCACGTCGCGATTTCCTCACATTGTACGAGATGCAGGAAAACAGATTCCATTAATTGTTATTTTTTTCTAATTTTAACAATGTTTCATAAGTTTCTTGTGTTCATTTTGATTTGAGTCACGATTTAGTCATTGTCGTTATGGACCAATACTTGTTTTTTTTTTCTTTTGGTTTCAGATAGGCTGACTAATTTGGTTGCTTTGAGTTTCGCATATTTCAGGATTACAGTAGTTCAATTTTTCTTTTTTTATTGTTTAAAGTGAGGTGTGTTGTTCCTTCCATGTACTTTTGTTAAGAGGATTCTGGAAGAATTGAGTTGCTGTTTGTGGTGGCACATTTTGTAGTTTTTTCACTTAAGCATTTTTTCGAGTGGTAACTGCCTTTTAGGTTTTTGCTATTTGGGTTAAAGGATTTTTAATTGTTAAATGGTACTGTAGTTTGCTGATTCAGAAAAATCTGGATAAGCTCGATGTGTGTTTTGGTACAGTTTCTATTGCTCGTTTCTTTATTATCTTCACTTTTATTTGGCTGTCGTTTGTAAGGAAGAAGCAGAAGGTTATAATAGTTTATCTTTTTTTGTTTAGAAAGTGATGATTTGTTTTCTTATAAGGCAGTCAGGTGATTGTCTAGAACTGATTTGTATGTGAAGTTAGGATCGAATGGGTATTAAGAAAAGGGAAGAAACTGGTCACAGTACTTAAAAACCCATGTGATTACTTTTCTATGAATGTAATATATTGATAATGTTTCAGAGTACCTGTACGTGTACTAGTGTACTTAATTCTTTCTTCTGCATATTTGAGCTCTTAGTTCCCACTTCAGTCATCATTTCATGTCTTCAACTTTTCTTGGCGTTATTATTACTCTTATTACTGCTATATTATGTTTTTGATTATTATTACTCTTATTACTACCGCTACTATTATTATTATTATTATTATTATTATTATTATTATTGTTATTATTATTATATCATCTGATTCCGAAAAATCTCAAAATTAATTTATTATTATTGTCTTATTATTATTATTATTATTATTATTATTATTATTATTATATTATTATTATTATTATTATTATTATTATTATTATTATATTATTATTATTATTATTATTATTATTATTATTATTATTGTTATTATTATTATTATTATTATTATTATTATTATTATTACTTTATCCATGTTTCACGTTCTCTTTACTTCATTCCCTTCCTACTTTGTATAAAAGTGTATTTTTTTGACTCTCATTTCTCTTTTTCGTTCATTGGAAAACCTGTTTTAGTTTTATTTTTGGTTGTGTGTGTTGTTAGTTTCTTTTTCCTTGTCATTCTTTTCGGTTTTTTGTCATTGTAAAGCTCCTGTTGCCGATTAAGAGCAATATTTATATCTAAGAAGAGTGCATACGTCTAAGTTGCGGAGAGGAAAGGGTGGGGGAGGAGGAAGTGCAGTTGTTGTTGTTGTCGTCTAATCCATATTTAATTTTAATAAGTTTGAGGTCTATTGAGGTGTTATTTTTATTGCTTTTGGCTATACTAACGGCAGCCTTCAGTAGCATTTAGTCTAGTAATTTATATTTGTAGAAGGTTTAAAGTTTTTCATGAGTAAGGTCCAGGTATTGTTCGTTAGTTTGAGGGCACTGTTGGTCATGGTTTAGTGTGTAGTTGTGATAGATATGGTGAGAAGACTCGTATGTGCATGTCATCGTTGCCTGTTGCGTGTGTAGAGGAGCTTTGGTATATATATGCTCATGGACAGTTAAAAAAAAAAAAGCTCTAGCGGTGGCAAGAACTGAAGTAAGGGTTGTTGGTATTATAAGCCAACGTTTCTCTTTTCAGTTTAGGTGTCTAGCTGCAGAAAATTTCTGCTTCAAATCTGTTCGTAGTTTCAGTAGGGTTGGCTATATTTTTGAAGGGAAATTTTGATGGCCACTCCAGTACAGTTTGTAATAATTGTTCACGCAGTATTTAAAGAATTTGAAATTATTGCAGTTTCAAATGTGGCTCACACTTACTGGTGTCGTCCCTTCTCGTTTAAACTGTGTGTTTACGGAATTTGTTCCTACTCCTCATGTTCAGCTTTAAAGAATTTTGCTACTTGAAATTGTCAAACAGTTTTTATTTCCTTCCTCAGTATGTCAGTTCATGGCATTCTTTGCCTGACGTTATTACTTTTTTCCTTGATCTTTGATGCCGAAATCGACACCGTTTAATTCATCAGTGTTTTCTTTTGTTAGGACCGTTCTCGAGTTTTTTTGTATTTATTGTCAAGGATCTGTATGTTTAGAGATAATCAGCGCATCCACTAACACCACCGTCATCATGGTCACTGACGTCGATTTACTGGCAATGTTTTGGTTTATTAGCTTGTTAAACATAATTGTAATAGAAGTTTGATTGAATACACGTAAAGTACCACGTGTTTTAAGGATATACAGAAGCAACGAGTTACAGAGGATTTTTCCTCGTTTCAAAAATTTGAGTAAAACTAGTTTTTATTGGCGATTGGACAGCCAAGTTGGAGAACATTAAATTATTTTAGCACTTTCACTATTAAGAAAACATCAGGCTATGGTAAAGAACTGCGGGTGCGCGCAGATGCAGTTATTTTGCAGTTGCTGGCTCTCATATTCGTTGTACATTTTAGTTCCGTCGTGTTTTCATTCAGTCTCAAGAGCAGCCTACCGGTTTTTGAGAGGAAAGGCGTTGGAAAAGAATTGCTACCGTGCAGTATTTCATCCTTAAATTTTTGTGCTTAATAGCTTCAGAAGAGCGAGTGAAAGTCACAGGTGAACAGATATGCGCAGGAAATTTCATAGGTCTTCTTGCGTGACCTGTGTTAAAGACAAACCTTTCCTATTTGAAGAGATGAGACAGATTGTCTCTTCAAGTGCAGTGGTTAAGTGGTTAAGAGAAGAGAACAGGAACAGGACCTGAATCGTCTAGATTTTTGGTTGGGAAAAAGTTTTGCTTTCGGAGCACCGCGAGTTGAAAATGGAAAATTTTGGTACATCCGTCGCTTCATATCTTTGTTGGGGTCGGCAGGACGAACGAAGAGAGTTTCTCCTATTGTTTGATTACTGAAAAGCAGGGGAAGCAGTGAAAGAAGAGTTTTTTGAAGCCATGATAGACGAGTTGAACGAGTCTGGTAACGATATACGGATAGGCGTCGTTATTTCCAGTTTGATGCGAAAATTTTTTTGTGGCAGGATAAGAGGTACAGTAGTCAGATCGGTTGGCAACTTATTAAAAGTTGTGAAATACCTTCACAATGGGCATTGTT